AAGTATATTGAGTGTATCGTTAACAAAGTATTTTGTAGCAATTAATAGAAACCAGCAGACATATATATGAATTTATAATATGCAGTGAAAACGATAATGCTGCTAATGTATAAGCAATAATAATGTTAATACGATTCGAAATCATCTACACGTTCGCAATCCCATATCGACGATTGTATTCATAAAGCCCGTAGGGCTCGCGTTCAATTCATCAATTTATCGTGGAAGAATGGAGAGCATGCTCCAAATGCGGGCCAGCTCGCGCACGCGCTGCATAGCAATTATCATATGCTTACTTAACAACCTGCTACACGCACATGACATTTGATCTCTATTCAGGGAAAATACATAATAATTCCTGTGATTGATTTATATTTTAACCACGCGTGTATCTCCTGCGTGATTCCTGGCTAATAATATTTCGACACCAAGAGCAATTATTCCTTTACTCGTGGACACGTCATTATCATTCACATGTCATTTTGAGAGGCGCGCATATGCAGATGTCACTAATGCGCATTCACTATTCTGCAGTCGTCTCTTATAATTCATTGATTGAAGACTAAAGTTGTTCAGCCATTTGCGTTTATGGATAAGTTTCATGCAGTACCAAAATTTTGTCATAACAAAACTTATTACAATAATTATTGAAGAAAAATAAAAATAAAGAATTGATTAAAATCCATTCTTCATTAATTGAAATTTTTATTTGACTACATTGTAAACTTCACGTTTTTATCAAATAGCACTTTTCATTAAAAGAAATACGATATGTATATTTTATGTTATTAGAAAAGAACACCAGTGGCTGAATGAATTGAGCCATATGCTGAGATAACTGTGATTCGAAACCCAGACGAATCTAACTTTTCACAAAAAGTTAATATACTAAACTCAACGTCACGTTTCTGGTGATTTTAAATTTACTCCAACATGTACGAATAATACATATAATATTTAGGTCTCAGTCTCGTTTGATATAGAACCTGGACTATCAATAAATGCAAGAAATTCAGAGTATCAAAAATCAATGAAAAAAGAGGTACTAATGATTATTTTCCATGAACAGCCACGCAGCTGCCACTATGCAAATGCATTATTTGTGGACGAATTGAAGCGAATATAAAATATCGATCGACTAATAAAAATAGAAAAAATTTCGATATCTAGCAAAAAGTTCCTCTTCTCTATCGCTCACCCGCTCATCTCTCTCACGCCCTCTCCTTTAGTTACTCTATTTACTAACACGCGTGAGGTAACTGCCGTTTGCAAACTTGTCACTAGGGCAAAGTTATATACGTGTACATTGTACTTGCTTTGTATACCTCAAATGTCTTACTTTAGTCTTCTTGAAGCCGTTGTACCTGCCTCTTTTCACTTACAATACTTTTTGTGCTTAAATTTACCCATACAAAATTTTGCTTTCATTTATATTTTTTTGGCCTACACACACACACGCGCGCGCACACACATATATGCATATAAGCAAGTTACGCCGAAACAATCTTCTTTTTAATAAAATTTCTTCGAGTCGAAAAATAAGGAACATCAAAATAAAAATACGTCTTCTGTTAAACTACATATATTTTAGAGAAGCAATTAGCGATCGAGGAAAAAATGTATACCAGAAACAGGCGTTATCTTTCCTATAATTTAAGATCTTTATCTTTGATTAGTAGAGTATATTAGGCTTGTCAGTATTTTTATAAAATTAATTACTCTCGGTATGATATCTTTTCGTCGACGCGCTGCTTTATGAGCCGCAATTATCAATAATTGCACTCTTCATCTTGCTTCTATAATTGTTTCTGTTCCTGATTGCCCGAAGAAGAAAAAAATTTATTATTTTGCGAGTGAGGGATTCATTTTTTCTGCTTGAACTTTCAAGTAATTAACGCTGTATCTCAAGAATTAAAAAGATTTGTCAATATTTTTGAATATTTATTGTGTTAGTAATACATTAACATTTAATTTATGAAAAGAATTTCAGAAGAATTTTTGACAATTTTACTCATATTTAATTATAGAAAATAACTAATTAGTTTGTGAACTATATCTAAATTATGCATGGAATTCATAAGAACAGTATATTAATTCCTGTGATAATTCAATTTAATTTTCCAAAAATACTGAAGAGTATTTCGAAATTTCATCTTTCATTTCTGACAGATATTTTCACTCAGACATTTTCAATTCAGATTCTTTTAATCACTCTTGATTGGTGTACAACTATCCTCGATTCTCGACAACTCGTACATTTATCGCGAGAACTACTTGCTGGCGCGAAACTTCTTCCTATCGACAAAGTTGTCGCGCAAGTTTTGCAGGTATAGCACAGTAGTGGAGGCAAGAGTACAGTAAGAAGAAAGAGAGGGTGAGAAGAGAAGAGGAGTCGAGGGCTAAGTAAAATTGGAAGTTATTATCTGTCGGTAACAGGAGGCCGAATTATGGGCACTTCTCTGCTCACTAGAATCTCTCTCTCTCTCTCTCTCTCTCTCTCTCTCAGACTAGCTCTCTTATTTTTACTTCCACCTATTACTTTTGGTCTCGGGTATAAGAAAAAGCGAGGAAAACAGAGGAGAGTGTGAAGAAAGTGTCAAGAGAGATAGACGCAGAGACCAAAAGAGGAAAGCAATCTTATCTAGTATTTATTCACTTTGTCTTATAAGAAGAATGATTAAGAAGTTTTTAAGTCCAGCTTTAACTTATATAATTGTTTCACTTTTCAGAGATGGTAATCACCTTTTATTTACGAGAAGACTGGGGTCCTTTTAAGGTAACAGGATGGAAACATTACTTTTCTCATCTTCCGATCCCTTGTACTTGAAGATTATTTGTAAGTCTTTCTTAGGAGATGCAATATTCACTAAGCTCCATACATTGTTAGGACAGAACTAAGTTTTTGTATTTGGTGTTAACGAAAAAATTCACTTCACGAAATATATGTATTCAAACCTAGTCGAAGTTCAAAATGACATTTAATTTGTGAAAACTCTAAAAATTGATTTAATAATAAATCCCACAGTAATTTCCAATCTAATAAAATAACTTTATATATCCAGCAAGACACTGTCAAAGTCAATATTCTTAATAAATATTAAATCTATCAAGTGGAAAATATATAACCAAAGAGAAAGGTTTTAACATGAAAATTTAAAGATAGTTTCATGGAAAGGTGCCACATTGCAACGACGACCACTAGCAGGCGGTAGTAGCGGACCCGAGGTAATAATTTTCAGAATCCTATTCCACTATCTTACCTGAAGGTGGAACTCGTAATGGAAGAGTAAAATTAAGCTATGCCTGTGATGCAGTCGTGATTTTGTAGCTCTGCGCAAATGTCACCAAGTCTTGCTATAGCTATGCTTTAGCAGAAATATCAGATTACAAATTCATAATTTATTTCTCATATAACAAATGACGACTATTCTACGTTACCTCCATGTGAATTATCATTTGTGTAATAAATTATGCGGAAAATGCTCGCTGGCATATGTTTGCATTAATAAAATGTTTTTGTTTGATTAAAATTTACACTGGAAACATCTGAAGTAAATTTATCTATATTCAACATAAACATCTCGCGTAATAAGTTCTGCATTATCGGGAAGCAACTTTATGAAAAGATTAAAACTTTGATTTGTAGATCGCAGAGAAACGTTCTTTAAAGTAAGCTTTGAATTTTGATCTGCTTTTTAAACTTTTGAATAGAGTCTACGTATTTTTAATGGTTACTTTGCGAAGTGAATAGTAATTTTTTACTCTTTTTTTAAATTTATTTATTTGAATGGTAATTTCTTTTATTATAAGATAATACGTTATAAACGATTAAAAATAAAAAAATCTCTTTGTAGAGCATTTTCATACAATATTTTTTACATCCAGAAGATCATATGATTTTCAACAGAAACCTTCCATTGTTCAAAACTGCAACGAAGGCAAGAAATTTATCTATAAAATCATAATATTATAACATTTGGTATAATTATATCGTATTTTTTTCGATTTTTTTCGAATATTTAACCGAACATTCTTCTCGTGAGATTAGAGTTCAATAAAATCGTTGATATTTGATAATATTTAGCACGAGCTTGTAGAACCAATGAACATAATCTGTCTGACCTGAGGCAGTTATCTATTTATGTTAATCCCCTTCATCGCTGATGATAGATGCACACTTGTACACCCTTTAATATCCAGTAAGCAAGCCCAAAAATGTCGGTGTTTACCGCATTTATCATAAAAAGTGGGTCAACCGTTTTATCGCCAGAATATATCGCCAAAATGGAAGATTACATTGAATGATACTGTTTTCGACAAATCTTTTTTAATTCTTAAAAGGAATAAAACTTCAGACAGTTTTCGTTTTATTTTTAAGCGTTTATTAGAGCAAAAGTCACAAGCGACCGCTCTCGACGCGAAAAAAAAGCCAAGAAAAAGCCAAAAAAAAGGGGCGAGCGCAAGCTCGTGTGTCGTTTGTTCAGAAAAAAAAAAAAAAAAAAAAAAAAGGTAACAATTTCATTGCTATGACTACAAAAACAATTCATCACTATGACTAAAGAACAATTGCTCGCTCTTCGAAAAATCAAAACTTATATTAGCCTGTCGGTAAATCGCAAACTTCTTTATCCTATCGGTAACATCCTCCCCACCTACAAAATTTTATATTTTGTATTCTTAAACTTTAATAGTAAACATCAATCATAAATAAAACAAATTATATAATTTACAATTGCGTCTTATTTCATATCTATTACTCTTACCAACTCTCAAGAAAATTAAACCCGAATTTGTCCAGCCAACCGTCCGTAGACAAGCCTCTGCGCTTAACTACCCCGTAGCTTTGCCTTTTACTGAATCAAAATTCATTGGCAAAGATTCTGCGCCCACGAAAGCAATTCTTTCGCGACGCGGCCTTGACACAAATTCAAAGAATACCTTTCTCTTTTTGAGTGAGGTTTTACAGTCAATTCTCAGACAAGTGATCCCGCATGATCTATTCATGCGTACTTAACTAATTTATTACTAGGTCTTGTTAACACTCCGTTTTCCGTTCTTAGTTCAACAACTCTTACTCTATTATCGGCGCCTGGTAAAACACGAATTACAATTCCCTTTTTCCAACAGTTTCTTGGTACATTTTCATCGGTAATTATAACTAAATCGTTTATTTTTAATTGAGGTTGGTCCTTTTGCCATTTCTTTCTAGAATGTAATGTTGGAAGATATTCGCGTAACCATCGATTCCAGAATTCATCCGCGTACATTTGAGCTTTTTTCCATTCTTTCTTTAAGTCTAAATTTTTATAAGTATATCGTGGTAAACATAATTGTCCTGAAGAGGATCCAATCAGGAAATGATTTGGGGTGAGAGCTTCCAAATCATGAGGGTCGGCTGAAACGTGCGTTAATGGCCTAGAATTTACACTATGTTCAATTTCCGCTAAAATGGTACGTAAGGTTTCTTCTTTTGGATGCCTATGTCTAATAGTAGCCGCTAACGCACACTTCACCGACCTGATAAGTCTCTCCCACGCCCCTCCCATGTTGGAGGCTGTAGGTGGATTAAACTTCCAAACTATATTATTTTTTGACGTAAATTGAAACAATTTTGCATAGTCAATTGATTCGATCGCCTCTAACAATTCTCTATTAGCTCCAACGAAACATGTTCCATTATCAGAATAAATATACACCGGGAAACCTCTCAATGCCGAAAATCTACGTAAAGCCATGATCGCAGAATCCGCGCTCAAATTATCGACCAATTCGATGTGTATTGCCCGAACCGTCATGCAGGTAAATATCGCTCCCCACCGTTTCTCTTTTCTTCGTCCTATTTTTACCCAAATAGGTCCAAAGTAATCGAGACCGCAATGACTGAAAGGCCTCATTCGATAAGCCAGCCTAGCATCGGGTAGAGCACACATTCGTGGTTGATATGGTTTTGCTCTTAATTGTCGACACGTCGGACAATGCGCAACGATACTTCTAAAAACGCGACGTAAACCAATAATGAAATACAGCTGACGAATTTCATTGATAACCGCTTCGTGATGCATGTGAAAAAATTCTTCGTGATAATGTTGAATGATTAATCTCGAAAGTCTTTCATCGCCATCGAGTATTATCGGATCTTTTCGAAGCTCCTGATTGATTTTATTTTGGATTCTACTGTCCGATCGCAGTAAACCATTTTCATCGACGTAAGGAGATAAATTTGTAATTTTACTATTTTTACGAACCGTACCCGAATATTTTAACGAGGCAATTTCAGCCTGAAAGGAAATAACTTGACTTTGAATCAACACTAATTTCTTTGCTCTTTCAAAACGTTCAGTCCGAGTTTCGAATAAGTTTATATTTCTTTTCATCCAAATATCAAGAATCTCAAGAGCTTTTGCTAAAGTGAGCGTCAAACGTAAAAACGTCGAGAATCGATTAAAATCAATTAATGGAGAGAAATGATTAGTCAATAAAATAAATTCTTCTCCAGTAATAAATTCTTTTTCCGTCTCGACTGTCTTTTCGGTGATACTCAAATCTAATTTATTGTTTAAGTCAATTTCCGAATCAAATAGAAAGGGTGGACCTGATAACCAGCGGCTTTTATTTTGCAAAGCCTCCGGCCTAAAACGCGTACCGTCGTCAGCTGCATTTTGACTTGAGCTTACCCAATGCCACTCATCCGGATTTGTTTTCTTACGAATTTCACCAACACGATTCGCGACAAAACTTTTGAATTCTAATGGATTCTTTCGAATCCAACTCAAAACAGTTGTAGAATCTGACCAAAAGTATCGCTTTTTAACAAAAAAATCATGTTCGCGTACGACAAATTCAGCTAATCTCACTCCAATCAGGGCGGCTTGTAATTCTAATCTAGGAATCGTACTTTTGTCGCTAAGAGCTATAGCACGACTTTTCGCCATCACAAAAGCTACGTGAAACCTTTCCTCGCCTATATGAAAGCGCCAGTAACAGACAGCTGCGCAAGCATTTGAGCTTGCATCGCAAAATACGTGTAGCTCGGCATCTTTTTTTTGAAAGTCTCGCAACTGATAACAACGATTAATTTTAACTGACTCAATATTTTTTAACTCGAGAAGCCATTTTTTCCACACGATAAATTCGTCATTCGAAATCAAATCGTCCCAATGTATTTTACTTTTCCATATTTTCTGCATTAAAAATCTTGATTGAATCAAAAAAGGTAACAAAAATCCTAAAGGGTCATAAATAGACATAATGATACCTAGAAACTGTCTCTTAGTCGGACTTTGAACTCCTTGCAAAATTTCAGGTGAAATTTTCTTGCTGTTAAAATTAAAGGTTAAACAGTCTGAGCTATTAAGCCATTTCAAACCTAACACCTTTTCTACACTCTCATCCAGGTTTAAAACTATTTATAATCTCTTTTGATTGAGCTGACGAATGAATATCAACAAGAGCCAAACGACAATTACTTGACCAACTGTGCATTTTAAAGTCTGACTTTTCATTGATTTTGATCACTTGTTTTACTATGTCATTCGCTTCTTGACTAGACTCAAAGCTATCTAAATAATCGTCCATGTAACAATTTTCAATTAATTTTTGTGAAGCTATAGGAAATTGAGATTGAAAAATCATCGCATTCTTATTTTTAATATACAAAGCTGTGCTAGGTGACGATTTGGCTCCGAATAATAATACTCGCATTCTACAAATTGTCGGCTCATTTGTACGATCCGAACCTCTCCATAAAAATCTCTGCGCGTCGCGATCCGAATCAATAATTTTGATTTTCATAAACATGTCTTTTATGTCCGATTTGACTGCAATTTTGTATTGACGAAACCGCATTAAAATTCCTGGTAAAGATTTTAAATAGTCCGGGCCAGGTAATAAAAGGTCATTGAAACTGACAGATTCGGATTTCGAAGCCGCATCGAAAACTAAACGAACTCTACCGGGCTTATTTACATTGCGAACTCCGAAATGAGGCAAATAATAAATTCGATTGTCACTCGATTCTTCAATGACCTTTTCAGCAAACCCACACTCAAACAATCTTTCCATTTCTTTATAATATAAACCAGCATATTCTTTATCGCGATCTAACTTTCTTTCAAGAGATAATAATCGAGACAATGCTTGAGCTTTTCCGTCTGGGAAATTACGTTTTTCGGATTTCCAAAGTAAACCTACTTCCCATGAATCGTTCACGTAATTGCTAGTTGAATCTAGAATTTTAATTGCACGAGCAATACCCGGATCAACACATTTAAACTGAATAATTCCGATAGCATCGAGATTGAAATAATTAAATACTAATTCATTAAGCTCTTTGTCATTATGTGGTTTCGACGGTCTTTTCACAACCCCTGTGTTACACAAATTTATTGATAATGTTTTGATAGAAGAGTTAAAATGACCGTGGATGGACCAGCCTAATAAACAGCGCGAAACAACTAAATCGTCTTTCATAATCGTGCGAACTTCTCGTGTAAGAATAAGACGACAATTGTCTTGACCGATTAACATGAGAGGAGTTTCATTGAATGGCTCCACGTAAACGTCAGTTCGCTGTTTGCAAAAATCAGCTAATTCTTTAACAATAACTTGTCTCGACAGTGGAATTTCATTGACAACTAATAAATTATTTACTGCGAAAAGATCTGATTCAATTTTGACATGCAAATTTGTTTTATAATTTGACTTTAAAACTGCTTTTTCACCTGCTATACCTTTGATATAAATATTCGTTTTGAATTTAGGAGCTGATAAACGTTTTATTACAGAAGCATCTATAATGGAAATTGTTGCGCCATCGTCAATCAAAGCGTAGATTAACGCTGATTTTTCGTTTACTGAGAGTTCAACCCGAATAGTTTTTAATAAAGAGCACGAAGCTAGTCATGAATCAGCGTTGAAAGAATTGCTTGGAAATTGATTTTGTTTCAAATTTTCCTCACTATCAATTTGAGCAGTCTTTTGAGCTTCAACGGACTTTGAAAGTTCATCTTTTGGAGTGAAATGTAATAAGGTGTGATGATTTCGTTTACAACGAGCACAAGTGATTTTGGATTGACAATTTTCACGCGAATGACCCTTTTCAAGACATACGAAACACAAACGTTCGCTCCTAGCAAATTTCCAACGCACATTCAATTTTTCTTTCGCAAAATCGCGACAATCCTTAATCAAATGATTTCTACGATTACAAAGAAGACATGATTTCTCAGTTTTTCGTTTCTTTGCTTGCGGTTGTTGATCATCATCGTTTTCATCAGTTTTATTATTAGTATCGATCAACAAAATATTTCTCGAATTGTCCCGATCGTTGTTATGCGGGCGTTTGTTTTGAGCAGATGCCGTTTTCAAAATAATTAAATTCTTTTTGATTCTCTTATTTGTCTCTTCGAAAATAAAATCAGACAATTTTTCCAAATCAGTTTTGTTTTCACAGTTTGTTGAATCAAGATGCGCGTAAATTGTTACAATTGAATCGGGCAATTTTCTAATTATGTTGTCAATAATTTCAGGATTTTGCAAGTAACCTTGCCAACCATTCAACCCTTTTATTGCCGAAATGGTGTTTCTCAAAATGGTCGCAAACTCAATCATTCGCGACTCATCTACGTTCAAGTTTGGTAATTTTCGAATGTCATCACACAATTTATCAAGAATCAACTTCGAATTCCCGAATCGCATTTCTAATGTTTGCATTATCAATTTCGTATCTTTGCAGGACATAAACAAAGATTTTACTGCTTCAAAAGCTTTATCTTTTAAGGCATCCGCGATACGAAGAACATTGTCTTCTTCGTTATAATTTCCCGTCGCAGTTGAAGTCTCAAAAGCATTTTTGAATCGCAACCATTCGAGTGGATCACCCTTGAAAACGGGCAACGATTTTGCAGAAGACATTCTACTCAAAAATGTTGAGCTTTCATTGCTCGCTATGGAATTGCGCGACATAATTGAATTTTCCAAAATATCAGCTAATCTATTTAATGGATCACTAGAATGGTTCTGATTCAACCTAACCCTATCGGGAATATCGCTAGTCGTACTATGGAATCGATTGTCATAATTATTTACGTCTCTAAAGTTCGCGTCTTCATCGTTGTTGAAGTCCTCTTCCATGGATACGTCGAAAGGTTCATTGAGAGCGTAGTTGGGGTCGAGGTTCTCGTCGCCGTTGTCAGCTTGTGGTACGAAGTCGTAGTCAGACGCGTTGATGGGCGCTGCATCGACGACTCGACGTTGTACAGCTCGACGACGAGCGTTGGCGAGCGCAGCAACAGCTCGCACACGAGCGGCGGCGGCCCGGCGAGCAGCGCCAGCCCGCTCACGGGCGGCGACGGCGGGAGCCGGCGCAGCACCGACGCCCCGCCGAACAGCAATGGCCCGACCTCGGGCGGCGGCAGCAGGCGCGAGCGCGGCGGCCCGGCCACGAGCAGCAGCAGCAGCCCGCGCAGGGACGGCGGCAGCGGCCCGGCGACCAGCGTCAACCCGTTCACGAGCGGTGACGGCGGGAGCCGGCGCAGCATCGACGCCCCGCCGAACAGCAACGGCCCGACCTCGGGCGGCGGCAGCAGGCGCGAGCGCGGCGGCCCGGCCACGAGCAGCAGCAGCAGCCCGCGCAGGGACGGCGGCGGCGGCGGCTCGGCGACCAGCAACGGCCCGACCTCGGGCAACGATAGCAGGAAGAGTCGCGCCGCTCTCGCCGGCAGCACGCCGCCCCGGACCTGCGTCACGCCTTGGAGCCGCTCTCGAAGCGGCGGCCCGGACCCGAACTCGGCCTCGAGTTGCAGCAGGAAGACCGCCGACAACTCGTCGAGGCGCCGCCTCCCGGCCACGAGCAGGAAGATGTTCAGCGCCTCGGACACGAGCCCGGCCCCGAGCGCCAGCAGCTCGAGCAACTCCCGGTGCAGCCGCCATGACAACGCCACTGTCAACTTGACGATGAGCATCGTCGTCATAAGCGACCTCCTGCACCTGACCTCCTCGACCGGCCATTCTTCACTGACACTTTTTTTTTTTTTTTTTTTCACAACGAAAATGCAAGAATTAAAAAAAGAAAACTCGGAAACTTTCTTTATTCCCGGGTTTCGGCACCAAAATGTTTTCGACAAATCTTTTTTAATTCTTAAAAGGAATAAAACTTCAGACAGTTTTCGTTTTATTTTTAAGCGTTTATTAGAGCAAAAGTCACAAGCGACCGCTCTCGACGCGAAAAAAAAGCCAAGAAAAAGCCAAAAAAAAGGGGCGAGCGCAAGCTCGTGTGTCGTTTGTTCAGAAAAAAAAAAAAAAAAAAAAAAAAGGTAACAATTTCATTGCTATGACTACAAAAACAATTCATCACTATGACTAAAGAACAATTGCTCGCTCTTCGAAAAATCAAAACTTATATTAGCCTGTCGGTAAATCGCAAACTTCTTTATCCTATCGGTAACAGATACGTTTGTATTCTTTGGTATCCAAAAAAATCGATATAATCAAGATTGCTAAAATATCTAGATAGATGACAATTATATTGAAAATATTTAAATATTATATTTGTACGTTGACGTGTTCAATAATAAATATTAATTTCGATTCAGCTGGGGAATTCATCAGGATTAATGGATAAGTTGCTTTTTCAAATTGCAAGTCTTCGCTTCAGTAATATTTTCTGGGCATTTAAATTCAAAAGCAATTAAATAGCGATTACCACAATATCGATCTAGAAAATGCCATTAGAATTGTGCCTCGCAACTGGAAATTCCAAATAGTCATTCGCATGGACGTTGAAAAGGATTCAAACAATAGAGGTCGCGACCAACGAAATGAGCATGTTTATTCAGCGAGGAATGTTTCATACTTAAAGTTAGAACCTTCACCAGCTCGAGTAGGCACGCGCTCGAAGCTTTCGCGTGTTCAGAATACCTTCTCGGATATTTGGTGTTCCCCTCGTCCCCACCTCTTGCTCTTGGGTTTCACGGCAGTCAGATTAAAGACCCTAATAGAAGTTATGCTTTGTTTCGCCGAAAAAATATACGAAGTAATTATTTAAACGCGTTGCAATCGTGGTATGCGTGGAGGAGACAGAGAGCAGTAGACAAAAGAATGTTTAAAATTAAGGAGAGTATAAGGCGATGAATTGCCTGCACGCGAGAGAACAGGGAAGAAAGTTTTGCTGACGCGCTGAAAAAGATGCTTGTCTAAGCGGCTCGCGAAACGCTCGCAGAATGCATAACCCTTTGTCATCATTAAATGCATTGTTTCGCCTCTCGGCCGCGCAAAGCATTATATTCATTTGGCCTCGGGACACTAGCTTAAAACAGTTTTTAGCGATGTTTCATTGTACAACACCGTTACCGCCGCCGCATAACTCGCTCTGTGCTCGCGCCCTCTCTCCTCTGGCTTTTACGGATTGCTCATTAATTTTCCTTTTCATTTGCCAAAGTCGTGAGACATCGCAAGCACACCGTAATCAGCCTGTGATAGATGTGCGACCGTCGAACCTTTATGTATATAGCTGGCTACACGTTTTAATCTAATGATTGATATGGACTAATGACTCGCTCGCGGCGACTTGAATTCAACGCGTGAAAAATCGATAACCGCGCCACTGCAATTTTTAACGAAAATTTTATGTATTGCCATGAAAATATATCCCCTCCTCCCGAAATGAACTAAGTGGTATCGATGTCGTACAGTAGGTCCGATTAGTATTGTGATATCAAACGCTATAATCAAGGCAATGAGCGAGCATGTGTAATCGCGTGTCATCGATTAATATCTATCAATACAGTGCTCAATCAGTGATCCCTCCCTTGCAAAGCGTGACTGAGCTGCTTCTTCATGTGCAATACAGACGCGCTCATATACAATAGCAAAGCCCTCTATTCATCGATTGAATGACATGAATACTTATTGGCTCTCTCCACGGACGAATCCTCAACTTAGGAGATCATATATTTCGTTGACCGATGAAGCACTGGCAGCAGTCGCTCGTGCATTAGGTGTCGATAAGAATGCTTTCTCTCTTTCGCGCTTTTAGTTGTGGTGAGCGTCGATTGCAGCACGTTGCTGGCAATGCTAGTATAACCCAGCACGGTCCTGATGCAAATTCCGCTAATGCATTATGAAAATTATGCAAATTATGTAGATGCGGCGAGGGCCGTTACTGGCGAAGGTAATAATCGCCGGGCGTGAGACGCCGCACGTACGTACATATATATACATTACGTACGTACGTTGCTTGGCCATTTTCTCTCGTCGCACCGCCGCCACAGCCGCGATCTAATGTATGAATGAGTGGCGATTTAAGCATCTCGCGGGATACATCCTCCTTTACCCTCTTCCCTCATGGATGCATTCCCTCGTGTACCTTATTCCTCCAGAGATCCACTTTGACCCTGTGATTTATATTTGAATTGCTACGAGTAGTTGCCGTTCATTCGCGCAACTTTGGCTTCGTCACGCTCAATGCGTACATGTGTGTGGGTATATGTGTGTATGAAAATCGCAGTGTTACTTAGGGAAAACGGGGATAGAGGAGCTTCCGTCCTGCCTTTCCCATCAAGATCGGTTTTTTGGCGACTTGTTCTCCATAAATTTACTTCACGCATACGTGATGCTTTTTATTCCTCGTAGTACTCAGGTCCACTGCACTCGGATAGCTACCACACCGCGCTTGCAAGGCCGCTCGAGCTAGCTTCAAGGGCCAATTTATACGGTCCATTACTGCACTTGCACCCATCCCGTGTTACATTACGATGTTTGCGTACTTTCCACGTGTTTTCCGCAAATACTACTTTGTTGCTTTGCTACTACGGCTGCTTCTTGCTTGTTAACTGTGTTTACTTTCAGTCGCGATAATCGTTAGTTTCCTGGGTATTATTTGGCTACATAGTATTGTGAACATATACGAAGAAAAAAATATTCGACACTAAATACCATTCTGTTGGGTTCAAATAAAACGTTGTGTATTCATTTTTGCATCGCTCACGTTGGTCGAATAGATCAATAAAAAAATGAGTTATAAATGAAACAATTATATTTTAGCGTAAACTTCGAATACTTCGTAATTTGAGGTAGAGGCTTTATAAGGTAAAGATACCGTACTTAATTTTTCATTTTCAGTGCGGTCTTTTGAATCAAATTTATAATCTGGAACATCGTTTTAATCATAGATCTTGGTATAATTTTAATCACCCAGGTAAAAAATCTTTCACATTTTCAACGCAATTCTGTATGACACCCGACTCTTACCGCTTAACACATATTCTAATTATACTTTCTAAGAGCAGGGAATTACAAAGCTTTGATTGTAAATTTTTGATTGTGGTATCTTTGAAAACAAATGAGTTCTTTTGAAACTTCAATTGGTGATAATTATAACAAAATACTATTTCATAAATCATGAAATATTGTTCGCGCCGTTTGCGCTTCGAAAATTTTCTTTACTATAAGAGAGAGAGAGAGAGAGAGAGAGATAGTTGTGCGGTAATAGGTTCTTAAATTATGGTGCATGCTCGGTCCGTCTTTGCTACATCTGTTTGTGTTTGCGTTCAACTATTGCTGCACATTTGTGCGTCTCATGTTTGATCCCAGCCCTGAGATACCCGAAAAGTATTGTACACACGTGTCATCGATGCCATGAGATAAGGAAGACACGTGTTGGACGAGCGCAGGTAATCAATCCGGACCACGGGGCTATTTTAGTCCTCGCAAATGGGGATCCTCTAATGAGTTTTGGCAAGGGCCTTACGAGTGGGGACAAATTTTCTTGTAAAGAAAAATAGGCGAAGACAGTCAGTTCCTTCAGGGAAACCAGCAGTGACACTTCTCTCTCTATCTCGCATAGTCGTGAGCCGTGTGTGATACCGCGTTTAGCGATTTAGTGGCATTGAATAAAAACAGTAATTGAAGTGTGTATGTTTGTGTGTGCACGAATGCAGTGTGAGAAATTGCGCTAGGCGTTTTCG